AAAAAAAAAAAAAGAATCACCCCTCTGATGTACTCCACAATTTGTCTGCCAGAGCACCTTGCTGAACACTTTACCTGTGTGATCGCCTTGTCTTCCCTGTGGTAGCCCCATGAGATAAGTATAAGATCTCTTGAGACAGCTCACCCCTCGCATCTGAGATGTTCCTTCAAACCAAGCATCCCTGTGTGGAGCTGACTGGGGACAGTATGCCTATCTAGAAGGTCCTTGGAGACTCATGTGAACTTAACGCAGTTGCCCTCTGGCTTCCCTCTTAACAGAAAGAGTACTTCAAGCAGTATGAAGTGGGGCTGCAGAATCTCTGCCATTCCTACCAAAGCCGTGCCGACTCACGGGCCAAGGCTTCTGAGGAAAGCCTGCGCACCTCCGAGAGGAAGCTGCGTGAGACAGAGGAGAAGCTACAGAGACTGAGGACCAACATCGTGGCACTCCTGCAAAAGGTGCAGGAGGTGAGCTAGGGAGTCCTCTCACCACAGCTCGACCACCTGGTCTATCGGAGGGGGTCTGAGCACCTCCTCTTCCCGTCCCACGTGAATCCATCCATTCATAGGAGTAGGTGGTTTCAATCCTGGCTGCACAGCACCCTGACCAGCAGGGCTTGTAGTGGTGTGGCTGCTGACATCAGACCAGCCAGACCCACACAACTAAACTTTCCACCTTATTTAGACATTCTGATGTACAGCCTGGTTTGAGAATCCTCCAAACCATAAAAACAAGGAGGTTCTTGCTTTTCAGATGATATCCAGATGGGATTGGGTAACCTGAAAGTGGGAAGTAGTGTGACTTAGGGTGGCAGTTCTTTATCCAGGCAGCAAGCACAGGGGCCTGCTCTCTGCCTGACGTATGGACTGAGTGAACAAGACAGGCCAGAGGAGGTTCTTGCTGTCACAGTGTGACTATGTGGTGAAGGAGACTGATGGTGAGAAGTGCTGTGAAGTAAATAATGAGTTACAGTAAATGGTGGGAGGCCACATAACTAGAGTGTTCAGGGGTAGTCTCTTGAAGTTAAGTATTTGAGCTGGGACTAGAAGCTGATCATGTGACGAAGGGACCATGAGTGCTCCTGCGAGGGAAGATGCCATGAGATGTGATTGGAGATTTATGGGTATAGAAGCAGAGGCAGGGCCTGTATGAGGTGGGATTTGGTCCTGACAGCAGGGAAATGTTAGGAGGGGAGGAGGTTAGAACCAGGCCTCCTGTGAGGAGGCTCCCACCGTTGCCTTGGTGAGGTAGTGGTGGCTTGGATGTTGGGTGGTGACAGTGAGAAGTGGACACATTTGTGTTGTCTGAGGAAACACACTTTTTTTTTTTTT